GGTTTCGATTTGTCGATTGGAGGTCGGACGACGAGTAGATCGGAGTTGAAAGTTATTGACCGGGAGAGGAAAAATAAGAGTTTTTTTTCTGCATAATACACGGGAAATGGGTGTTGTATTTCATTCCAAAAGAAAAATGGTCAAATCATGAGTTTAGTCACTGAATTTCTTACACTTTATAAAACGGCCTGCTAACTTTGAAATTTTTCAATTTAATCCTCAATTTTCCTCCCAAAATCCAATTAAATCCAATACTTTATAATTCCTAAAATTTAACCCCCAAATTGGGGTGTTACAGAAATTATTCCTATAAAATTTGACAATGTATAACAGTTTGTTAAATGTGTTATTCTTGTGCTATGCATATATCGATCTAAAATTATCGAAATTGTAAATCAAAGAAGAGGAAGAAGCTGGTATACATCTCAAATTGTCTAAATACTTGAATGGCCTTGCCGTAGTTGTGTCTAGAACCACACGAATGGTTTATTTAATGTTTCCAATCGGCTTCATCGTTCAAGGCTCGAGCTAAAAACACAAACTTAACCAATATAAAATCTTACGTCCATCCAAACTAAGAAAAAAAAACTCAAAAAGGGAAAAATTCGAAGAAATGCCTAATCAAATCACTGTCCTAACTGGTTATAGTTCTCACGGGAAAATTCTTTACAAGAACTGCACGCATATAATCAAAGGCCTATACCATTTGCTGCCCGGAAAATCCCGGGAATCGTTGGAAAACCGATCCTCAAAAACGCGGTTGAGAACTCATCGAATCAGTTCAAGCATATGTTGATAGGATGTTCTTCTTGAGAGTGAATTCATCAGCTTTTGCTGGGCTTATTGACTGCCACCAAAGATCGAAAACACATGGTTAGAGTGAATATGTGCGCAAGCCACGGATTTCTAACATGGATACTTCAAGAAAAATGAAGATTCGTAACAACATTACGTAAAATATCGTATCCATGGAAGACTATGATGTCAAGTTGTGACGGCCAAACCACCAAGACTAAAATTTATTCGGATTTCAAGCATAAGCCTTACCTTGCCAAGCATGCGTTGCAGCCGTTCAATTTCCTTCTTTGGATAATCAGCATCTTTCTCCATACAGTTTTTAGCAGCTTTCAAGTATATCTTTCCATACCTGATAATCGCCAAAACAGAATAGTTAGAATTGGCAAGAAGTTTTCCTTTAGAGCTGAATATTGAGAAACCAGTCGAATACCTCGGCGCGGAACCATTAAGCTTCTCACTTCCCCTTCGATCTTCGAAAAGACTGATTTCTTCTCATCACCACTAGCAGCCACAAACTCTTTAACCAATGGATCCAAACTTGGCAAAATACCAGCCTGTGCAAAGATAAGGGGAGAATAACCAATCTCATACAGAAGAATTGGTGATGACAAACATGATGCAACTATGAATACTACGAGATACCAACCTTTGAAGTTAGCTGCCCTTTTGCATCACGATTGGTGCCACATTTTTCATTGATGAAGGCAACGAAAGCATCCAAATCTGTGTCACCGGTGTATTCCTCACCTGCTTTGTTGCCCTTTGGAAAGAATTTCAATGTTGGAAATCCGCTTACACCATACCTGTACTCGTAATGCATAGGTCTTAACATGCATCAACAGAATCCCACCCTTCATAAAGGAAACCCAAACTTATTGGCTAAATTTACGCTTACTTTTCGGCTAAATCCCCGTATTTATCAGCATCTAGATTAGCTATTATTACATCTTCTTCCCTTTTAAATGCCGTTGCTACCTTTTCGTAGGTCTACATAGACAAAAAAAAAGCAGAGGGTTAGGATGGAGATCACTACTTGTACCCGAGTAATCACGCCTACTTTATTAAGCGAAGATATAGATGCTTACAGGAGCAAGTTTTTTACAATGGCCACACCTAGAGAAAAAGGGAAAACACATTTAAGTAGAAAAAATCGAAGCAAAAGAACACCAACAGAAAATTTGTTACATACATGAGGTTCTTAAACATGTAAGATGCAGAAAAAGGCCATAAACTCGGTTATGTTGCAAAAGATTACTATTACCAACAGAAAATAAACCAAATGCTTACCAAGGGGCATAAAACTCAATCAACACGTCTTTGGTCTCATCAAGGACAACCTCATCAAAATTATCAGTATTTAGCACTACAACACTGGATGGAGCGGCGGTTATTTTCACATTGGTCCCTGTAAAATGATACACGAGCTTAGCAGAATCCTTCCGGGTTTTTGCCTTTGTGCATTAATGTACATACAGCTAGTCACCACGGAAACACACAGAAGAAAGAAATCAAGACAGAATTCCATAGACTAAGCAACCACATAACAATTTTTTTGTACCTCCTTCAGTATTCACAAACTCAGTAAGGGACTCAGCAGTGCGTTGTCCTTCATACCTAGAGAAAATAATTTTGATGTGCTGAGAGCAATGTTTTAAACAAAATTTAGACAACAATTACAGAACACAAAATAAGATCAAAACATTCCAATTTCTGCTTCCACGAGTTAAAGTTGACTCACTTTTTAGGTTTCAAAGAACCTTTGGGAAACCATTGAATAGTTGGGTAGCCTTGCACACCATATTTGCTGCAAATACTCTTATGCTCATCACAGTCCACCTATACCACATCAACAAAAAAAAGAAAAGGAACTCAATAAGACCAATAGAAATACCAAGACAATGTTTCAGAACAGTATAATTTTGACAGTTCATATTCGAAACAGAATACACTGATCAATAATAATTCATATGCAAACAAGAAAACCTGTTTAATTATTAATTGGCAATTGCTAACCTTTCCAATCAATAAAATAGCAAGAAAAACATCATCATAGTAAAATCCTCAGAATTCATAAAGAACCGGCATACAAATAACAACCACAGTCGTATAAGTGTAATCGTTAACCTTTCCGATCAAGACGGATTTAGCCTTCTTGAAACTCTCCGCAAGCTTCTCGTACTCGGGAGCTACCTTCTGACAGTGTCCACACCTGTGATTTGAGGGTAAAAAACGATTACGTCTTTCAAAATCCATATAGCCTGAAGTGAGATCACATACATTTATGACTAAAAATGACTTATGGAAGATTCAAATTCAGAAAACAAACATTTCATTTCAATTACTGGAAATAAGATCTAACGATCGATTAAAGGGGATCTAGCAGAAAAAAACAACGAGATGGAAAAATCAATACCAAGGAGCATAGAACTCGACGAGAGCTCCTCTGTCTTGACCAACTTCCTCGTTGAAGTTTTCTTCGGTTAGTACGACGACGTCGGCCGCTGTTGATGATGCCGATAACAGGAACAACAATGCTCCAAAGGCTAACCATATCTGAGATTTCTCCATTTTTCCTCCTCTCTTTTTGTATCTATGAGGCTTCCTCTTCGATATTTATTCCTAGTTCATGGCTTGCCTAACGAGAATTACTATTTATAACCCGTGGATTTTGAAGGGATTTCTTATATTTAAATAAAGGTTTTATTTACGATTTAACCACTGAACTTCACATTCTTTTATTATGGTATCTAACTTTATTTTTTAATCTAATTTGATACTTAAAGGATCATTTTATTTCGATTTTCCCATAAATTATATTGAAAACAAATCCACCACGTGTCTGTCTGTTCATGTATATAATATTTATCACATTTCACATTATCATACGTGGATATTATTTTGAATAAAATTTATTCATGCATATAATATTAATCACATGTCATGTTATTATTTATGGATATTATTTTATATAAAATAAAAGATTGGAGTGTACAAATTAGTTCCTCAATTATAGGACGTTGATTTGTTAAGTCATTTGATTATTAAAAGTTATAAAATGATCCTTGAACTATAGGACGCTCCTTTGTTGAGTCTTTCGACTATTAAAAGTTACAAAATGGTCACTCAACTATTCATATAGTCCAAACACATCATTTTCTGTTAAAAATTAGCGATCGTCCGAGCTGTATATTAACCTGTGGACTAAGATATGATAAAATATGATCCCTGAATTATTTGAGCTATATTTTATGTATCTACTGTCCGTTTATATTATGTTGTCGAGCTAGTGCTTAAAACATTATGTTGTCAAGCTAATCCTTAAAAGGAATGGCGGTGCCAATAAATATCATTAAAAATATGATTTTATCATATCTCAATCAGCATGTTAACGTCCAACTTAGACGACCGTTAATTTTTTAACGCAGAAAGACAAGTTTGCAACATATGAATAGTCAGATGATTATTTTATAACTTTTAACAGTCGAAGGACTAAAAAACCAACATCCTATAGTGAGGATTATTTTATAACTTCTAATAGTATAGGGACTCAACAAAGCAACGCTCTATAGTTTAAGACTATTTGTGTACTTTACCCTAAATAAAATTAAGATATTATGATAGTTTAAGACTTTAAGTATTAAAATAGATAAAAATAAATAAATATCGAAATCAAAATTAGATATATTTAACGGTGAATAGTTAAATTATTTTTTTTGTTAGATGGTTAAATTTAATATCTAAACCCTTATATAATTTTTTTTTCATTTTATACTCTATAATATAAAGATAATCTTTTATGAACTAAGACGGTCGAAGTTCTCACCGGAGAATTTTAACGGTGAGAGGCTTTATTTCTGTAGACATAGTCTAAAATGACAACGATCAGAGAAAAATGAATTAAAAAATATATATTGAATCGATCAATTGAAATGAATATCAATAATTTATTCAATAAAATAATTAAAATTTAAACAATGAAAACTTTTTTGAGCCATTAAAATATAAAAAATCGGGTACATAAAACCAATAATCTAACGGGTTGAACCAGTTTTTTTTTTTAATTGCTTCTTTATTTTTTATTTTTTTAAACAATTATTATCAAATGAATAGATTCACCAGTTAAATAAAAAATAGTTGATTTATTGACAATTATTATTCTGATTTATTGTTGAACTCGTCTCATTTACACTAAGACGACGAGCAAAGGAGACTGACTGGTTTAAGATATGGATTATGCAAAGCTAATTGACAAAAGTTCAGTATCATATATTTGCACCCACAAGTAGAATTTACAGATCCAAAACCAAAATACATCAAACCTAAAAAAAGAAACCCACCGAGGGACTGGTTCAAACAGTTCGAATAGTCGAGAAAGATGGGATGGAATCGGAGTTTTGGAGTCTGTAACCTCATCCTACCACGATTCTCCGATCTGTTACCTTACTTAATATACTGAGACATCCATTTGAAGCCTTCGCCATACCCCATTTTGCGGACAATGCTGCACATGAATACCTCTAGTGGACGGACATTTGAGTCCTCTAGGTTTACTTTGCCCTTTCCAGTGGTAAAGTTTGTGAGCCCGAGATGGTAACGTAACTCATCCTCTGAGGCAGCGTACGGTATATCAATCTTGTTTCCTAGGATAAGAAACGGGACATTGGCGAGGGAGCCGTCTGAAAGAAGTGAATCGAGTTCCTTCTTTGATTCTGCAAACCTCTCTTTATCAAAGGCATCTACTAGGTACACAACAGCATCCACCTGGAACCCGGAAAATACACAATTCAAAGTATTCAATCAAAAGACCAGACACCCCATTGCATTATCGCATATAACAAGAAGCGATAACGACAAACACGCACATCAGATAACAAATCAAAAGGGAGATAAAGGCAACATCCGCAGCATGTAGTAAGATCGTCATGTGAACTCAGTTGTATACGGAAAATGTTGCTTGAAAGACTCGACTTTATGATACAACCTTCGCATTGCAACCGGCAATTATAGACCACATCATTCAAAAACCAGGCAGGCCTTCCCCAAAGCAGTTTTGGAAATAAGGAATGAAAACCACCCGTTGTGACACTGTGCTTTTCATATTATTATCTGCTTTCGAAAAATCTTCACAAAATCAACTGACAGCACGCAACAAAGTCGAAGAATGCTACAGCGGCACAAAGAACACTTGGGCATCTTTCCAAAATGAAACATACTTGAATATTTAATTTAAAGGGGAACAAAAAAAGAGCAACTATGTGCAACAGATTGGTACAATAGTTTAAACTTTTGGCAAGTATTCAATAAGATGATCATCAAGACAAACATCACTGAAAATTCATGACCATAAAAACACAAGCGAAACATATGAACACGAAGAAATTCACATATGTGGTCAAAACATCCATTTGGATGGCATGAAAACAAAACGATGCTAAAAAGATCGATCCGAAAGAAAACCACATATCTGTAATGATTGTTCGAGAAAACAAAATTCCAACCATAACCGATCCGTTGCAACTTATCTAATCATCAAATGCCAAGTATCGTGAAGTATTCAAGTCCGACATCCATCCTCACAAAATGTAACAAAATCAAAAGTGAACAAGTAGTGTCAATAAACCTTTAAAACCAACATAACACAGAATTGGTCAATTAAGATTGCAGCGCCTTACAAAATGAATGAAACTAATGAAAGCTAAAATGACAAACAAGTAGATCATTGAAACCAAAAACCAAGCAAATGCTAAAGGGGGGGGGGGGGAACAAGGCATTTCGGTTACCTTGGCATAGTAATCCTTCCAGACTCTGCGAGCAATCTGATGACCTCCCAAGTCGAAAGCTTTGAACTTAATTTTTCCAATACTAAGCTCTTCCGATGTGGGATACTGAGTTGGCTGATGCTGAACCAATCTCTGTAAACAGTTCACTATTTAATCAACATCGCTAATTACCCATCTTTCCAAAAGTTCCTCATTTTCCATTACAAATTTAAATAAAAAACGAAGCATTTAAAGGGTTTGACTTTAATTTCCAGCATTGAAAAAGAAAAGAACAAACCCAATTTTTTCTCAAGTTAAAACAATCATAAATACACAAGATTTTAGACAATAAAGAGAATGACAGAATCCAAAACCATGACTTTGAAATGAAATTTTCGTGAAAAAGCATAATTGGATGACGGGACAGAAAGGGGAAATTTTTTAAAAGGAAAAGGAAACGAACCTCGTCTTTCAACAAGTGAAGCAAGGTGGTTTTACCGGCATTATCGAGGCCGAGAAACAGGATCTTAGCCTCTTTCTGCCAGAGGCCGAGGGAGGCAAGGACGCCGTAAAACCAATCGATAATAAACATATTTTTAGCTTTGGGTTTTGGATTTCATGAAGTAATTTGTGACAATCTGAGAGTGGAAGAGGGTAAGATTTGTTAGTAATCAAGGCCTATATGCTTCGCATCATCATATCACGAAGAAGATATAAAAAGGAGGAAAAAGAAGCAAGAGCTAGGATATAGATTTGGAAATCCCAACTTGTTACTAACATTTTTACACTCATTTTTTAAGGTTAATATATGCTCCAACTCCCTGTACTATTCTTGTATTTGGAATTTAGTCCTCGTAATTTTATTTGCAAGAATTTAATGTTTTAATATTCATTTTTTAAAATTAAATTTAATGAATAATATTAATAAAATTATTCTATTAAATTCATTAAAGAATTATTAAATTTATTGATATATCATGATATGTTAAAATAAAAAAATACCTACTGATATTTTTAGTACTGTTTTTTTCAAAAAAAAACATTTTAGTAATTTTAGTTATTAAATTTTTTAGGTCATCAAACTTTTAATTTTTTTCTTTAAATTAAATCAATTAATTAAAAATTAATATTGACGTCATGTTTTTATTTTCTTTTTATATTTTTTATAAATTTAAGAATCTTTAATCTTTTTTTATTTTTAATATTTTATTATATTTAATTTTTTTCACAAAAATATAAAAATATCTACGTCAACATTACCAAAATTAAATTAATAACTGGGTTCAGCCGAACAAATATGTTACATTTTTTTCATAAATTTATTCAAATTGATAAAATAAATAAAATTTTAAAGTAAAAAAAGTTAAAAAAAAAACTTAAAACTTAAATGATTTTTCTATAAAGTTTGAGGGTTAAAAATGATATTAAGCTATAAAAATACTAACTTCGTATTTAAGTTGGTATTATTCTCTAATTTGGGACTAGGGTTACAGTAGTTTATTAGGGTATATAAGAAAATATTAGCTCGAATAAAACGATTTTATTGATTAAAGAGATTGTTATTATCTTTTGAGATTTCAAGTTCGAGCACGTAGTTTACAATGATGTTTGAACATTTATTGTTAAATTGTTAAAAGTATTTCAAACAAATATTATTTTGTAATCATCATAAACTAATAAAAATATGTAAACTACGTAAATAATCACTAATGTTTGAGTAAGTTTCTTTTTCACCACTAATATTTCAAAAATCACAAATCGCTCACTAACATTATCGTTTATTATAAATTGATCACTCGACGTTAACAGCCGTTATATGGGTGACGAAAAGCTGAGTTGGACCGTTAAATGCTTACTTGGACAGAGATGTTATTACTAAAGCTTGGAATCTGCTCGGTGAGTTTAAACATGTTTCAAATCCATTCTCCAGTCTTAGTGAGAGGAATCCCCCCCCCCCACGATCTCGCAAGTGGAGTAAGCCTTCGTAGGGAATGATTAATATCAATGTAGATGGTGCATTCTGTTCCGACTCTCAGAAGGTTGTCGTAGGCATTGTGGCGCGAGATTCGTATGGAATGGTCCTAGGAGGAATGACTAGACAAGTTGAACTACCCAATATGGCAGAATCTACTGAAGTTTATGCTTTTACACAGGGTATCAGACTTGCGGTAGAGAATGGATGGAGTAATGTCATCATCGAAGGAGATGCCATCTCTGTTGTGAACAGACTGGCCAACAGATATAAGACAATACCCAGGACCACTCTATAATCAGATTGTTGCTCAATGAGGCTAGCTCCCTCCTCGATGCTAATTCTTCTTTCAAAGTTCACTATGTTTGTAGGGATGCAAATAGAGCGGTTCACTCGTAGGCTCAATGGGCTTTATCGAACCCCAATCCAGTTTAGTTTTTCCTGGACGAACCTGAATGTATTAAGCAAATTGTCATCGTTGATGCTATAGGAATATAATCTCTTTCTTTCCTAAAAAAAGAATGCTTTGTTTAACTTTGCCAATTTACATGTCTCTAGCGGATTCAAAGACTCAATAATTGTAGCCACTCAAACCTCCGACAAATCCCCCAAACTAAGTGATGAAGATGAAGAATCAGATGATAAACAGTCGATGATGAACAAAGCAGAGAAATTGACACCCAATGATAGAATAAAAGGGGGGAACTATAGAGTTCTAAAGCAGAGTATTAATTCTATAAAAGAGTGGGAGCAAGAAACAAAGAGGTGGAAAACATGAACACGTGCTTGGTATTTTAAGAATCTTTGTTTCTTGTTTCTTTGGTTTTTGTCTATTATTTATGTTTGATGATGAAAAAGAGCGATAGTAAGATAGGGAAAACTTGTGTTTTCTTTTTTGACGGTCTATAGAGGAAAACTGTTGGATTATATATTAATGGTGATAGCATCATTGAAAGAAATGAGATTATAGACAGACATGAGACTCGATTAGAGGCGACAACAAGATTAGGGGACGAAAGCTGAGGTTGAAGAGGTAGGAAGATATGGCGGAGCGAGTGTGAAGGAGAGAATAGAAAGCAAGCAGGGGAAGGGAGAATAACTGAATAAGGAACACAACGATAGTAGTGGGGTAACCAGTCATCGGCTAGATAAGCAGTCAATGGTTCATATAAGTATTTAACAGTTCAATTAAGTTTTCTGATAATGTTAGTCATCGATTTGTGACTTTCGAAACATAAGTGATGAAAATGAAAACTTACTCAAACATTAGTGATCATTTATGTAATTTACCTTAAAAAAATACTAACCCAATAAATGCAGAAGGAATTTATAAATTGATCCATTAATTATATTAATTTCCTTATTTTGATACCTAATTTTTATCTACTTTGATGCATGAATTATTTTTTATAACTATTGGTATTTGATTTATTAGTCGATTAATCCATATCGGATACTATAGAGGTGAGGGCGACCCTCCCAAGATAGTTTGTTACCTTCGTAAACATCAACGTTTGAATACATGACTTTGTTTAAGAGATCTAGTGCTCATCCCACTAGATCAATTGATATTTATTTGATGCATGAATTATGATTTACATCCGATATTACTTTAAAAGAAAATGCTACTATCAACAAGAACATACCGTGTGGCATTCTTTTATATAGTAAGTGTTAGATAAATTGAAATCGATATAATTTAAGTACAATATTAAACGAAAAAAAAATTAAAGTGCCAAAAAAACATATATATTAGTTAAGGGGCGAAATTGTAAACAAGGCCATTAAAGCATAGTCAATTCTACTGAAACAAACGCAGCTTTAAGTGAAATGTTATAGTTTAATTTCAACAGGGGATGTAGATTAGACGGTAGAGCGTTCACTTTGCACGCGAGAGGCATGGGTTTCAACTCTCGCATCTCCAATTCTCCTTAAGTAGAAACTTAAATATTTTTTTATACAAAGAATTTCTTTAAACCATTATATATTCAAAAAAATCAATTTATAATTATTTTTAATGCAAATTAATTTCAAATTAGTTTTTCTACACTAATTGGTCGTTTTTTAAAAAAAAATTAAGAAAAAAACTTAAAAATAATGCAGAACTATTTCTAATTATATATATTTTAAAAAAACATTTTTTTCTTAAACAAAATTATCTCCAACTTTTCTAACAACGAAGTAGTAAGTTATTGTTAGGGTAAATTACATCCTAGTCATTCTATTGTTAGTAAGTTTGTAATTGAGTTAATGTATTTTATAAATTATAATTATGTCACACAATCGATTGTAATGATCAAATTATTGTGTCGTTCAATCTCAGACGATCATTAATATTTTATTTATATTTGGATCACTTAATTATGAGTAAGTTTATATGTCGATCGTTTGACTTTCGACAGGGAATCAACTTTTGGAGATTTTCTTTTCTAATTTCTTAGATGATGCAAGATCAATTGGCCTTTGTTTTTTTTTCTAGAACACTTTGGTCCCAACATTTTAGTTTAGGGTAAAAGACTCTTATTTGAAGTGTTAACCATTTGTTAAGTAACGGTTTTCATATATCAATGTACCTTATTATATCAAAATGAAATGTTAGGGATCACAATATTTCACAAAATAGAAACTAAAATGATTATTTAATCAAACATTAATGATATATTTTTTACATTATACCTAGAAACAAGTCTACAAATTGCAATTAGCAATTACAAGATTTGTCATCTTTCTTTTTCATAAAGATATCCTAGTGGACCTAAATTTAATAAAATAAATAAATTTAATTTCTTTAATGATTTGGATGATTACATGATAATATTTATTTAGATTTTTTTATAGATTTTTGACAATGCACACACACCTTACAAACACGCATGGATGGACCGAGAGTGACGGATGAGGGCAACCGCATCTCTTAAAAATTTAAAATTATCATATATTTTATATTTTTCTGTATTTTCTATAGAAGATTTGTTTTCACTCCTTTGGAATTTTATAAATTAATATATTTCTAAAATTTTAGAAGTTCATCCCTAGTATAAAATATTGTGTTTATCCCTATAGACACATTTACTCGAACTCGTACTGTTAAGGAGAACAACATTTTCTTTTACTATTAAGGTTACTCAATAGGTTGAATAAATTTAAACTTTAAATTTTAATTAGAATATAAATTTATTTGAATCTTGTTATTTATGACTCGTCTTATACCTGATCTTATCTTCTTCCTCGTTGGTTTCATCAATATTGTCCCTTCTTACCCTTCTACAAAGCAAGTCAAACCCAAGCCACAGGAGAGCTTTAACGACCCTAACCATGCCAATTATGACGGTCAAGTAATATATAGCCCCACCAACCGAGAAAATCAGCCATTTCAATGTCCATCGACAGTTCCTTCTTAGCTTCAGCAACAACCACTAACGACTCAACTTCATCCCTCAGTTTCCATCACCATAGGGTGCCGATCTCTGACCGCCAACACGATGGCGGCCCTATGAACCCCCACCTCTCTTCATTAACTCCAGCTAAAATCAACTCGTCCGCCACCGACTTTATTACCGTTCTGAACAATGGTGAATCTAAAAATATTTTTTAAACTGGACACACGTATCCACCTTAAATAAATTATAGAGTCGCCGCTGGTTCTGAACCAAACAAGGACAATCTCATGCAAACTCAAGAAGAACATTATCATTTACGCTTAAACTTGTGTCATCGAATCCTACATCCATGCTTTCCTTCAATCTCCAATCAAACG